ACAAGTTGTTTTCAGATATACCATTTTAATCAGTGGTGAAAATTCAGAGGACCTCAGATGATGCCAACCCTGAAACAACATAACTACCACATTTTGCTATAAGTTTGATTGCATCATATAATAATTGCTGTTAATAGTGTTCATCGTCTGTTTGATTACGTCTTTAATTGATTTTTCCGTACATTTCTGCCATATGTACATTAACTGACGGTCACCACTGATAAGCTACTACTAAATATTGTAGAAACTTAATTTGCTGTAAAGTTGCTTTGCAACGATTTGTATCGTGAAAAGCGCAGTACAAATAAACTTGAATTGAATTGAATTGGTGAAAATTCCATGTCATTAACATTATCCATCGTGATGTTTTCAAGGTTTCCACTTAAGAGGTTATTGTAACACCACTCCTGTAGAAATCGTGGAGCTGGACCACCTTGCGCGAGACTTACGGCAAAGATTTCCCCAGCAACTCTATATAACAATGACAGGAAAAATTGTGAAATACAACTTCTACAGTCAGCAAGTATTTTTGAAACTAATGTTCAAAAGGCATTTGCTCTTAATTGGATTATTCGCCAGAAAAATAAAACTTCTACTCTTGTTTTTGGATTTCAAAAGGTATGAATCTTTTCATGGACTTTAATTATATAGACAACAACAAGAACAGCTGAGATAATGTTCAAAATACCTTTAATTGTTTTCTACAGAAAAAAAGTACTTAATTTTCTGTTTTTATAGACTCCTCATGCAAGTCTAATCTAAACCATGTTCGATGAACTATTTCTTTAATGACTTAAATTCTTTAATGACACTTACCGAAACAGGCCATTGTCAAGGTCATTTAACGAGTACTTTGGCATTTTTCCTTTACCATCCTCTCCTTCAAAGAGCCGGGTCTCTATGCCACTAATCATTTCTATAGTTAAAAAAAAAAGAAATAATTCAGCAACATTCCAGTATGGAGAAGCAAACAATCTGACCAGAACAAATGAATTAACATTGCAAAGGTTTTGTGGTCAAGGGTATCGGATGCAAAAATCCTCACCGGTCAGGAATTCTTGGAGGTGTCAACTTGAGCAGCTAGCCATCGCAGTACATTCTCTTCACTGTCAAATTGTGATTAAAATGGAGTGTTTTAGACCGCATTATGATATACCAGTTATGTTTTACAAGTACATTATTAAGTA